TCATGCCACTGCACTCCAGCCTGGGCAACAGAATAAGACCCTGTTTCAAAAAGAAAAAAAAAAAAGTATTGATACATGAATGAGTGAAACTGAATGAGTAAGTGAATGACTGACAGATGAGGCTGAGCAGGCAGGGAACAGAGAAGCTGTGGGACATGTGGCTAGGAGGATAGCTCGAAGGCTCAGAGTCAGAGGGACTGGCCTGCTTAAGTCCTAGTTCTGGCCCTGGCCAGTTGTGTGGCCTCACAAGTGATGTCACTACCTTGGGCCTGCACTTGTTCCTCTAACATGGGAAGAGGGTGGTTGGACTTGTCTTGTCAACTGGGAGTGTCTGTGGCCCCATCCTGCCTCCCCATGTCCGGACGCTACAGTGTTTGGGTTAGCCCACTAGATCCCATGGGATCCCTCCCAGCATGGTCCCAGTCACCCCACCTTGACTATTTGTTTCTTTTTTTTTCTTTTCTTTTCTTTCTTTTTTGAGTTGGAGTTTTGCTCTCGTCACCCAGACTGGAGAGCATTGACGTGATCTTGGCTCACTGCAACCTTTGTCTCCCGGGTTCAAGCCATTCTCCTGACTCAGCCTCCCAAGTAGCTGGGACTACAGGAGCCCGACACTATGCCCAGCTAATTTTTTGTATTTTTTTTAAGTAGAGACAGGGTTTCACCATGTCAGCCAGGATGGTCTCGAACTCCTGACCTCGTGATCCGCCCGCCTTGGCCTCCCAAAGTGCTGGGATTACAGGCGTGAGCCACCGTGCCCGGACTATTTTCTTTTTCTTTTCCTTTTTTCTTGTTTTTTCTTTTTCTTTTTCTTTCTTTCTTTTTTTTTTTTTTTTTTTTTCTTTTTTTTTGAGGCGGAGTTTTGCTTTCGTCACCCAGACGGGAGAGCAATGACGTGGTCTTGGCTCACTGCAACCTTTGTCTCCTGGGTTCAAGCCATTCTCCTGCCTCAGCCTCCTGAGTAGCTGGGATTACAGGTGTGGGCCACCAAGCCCTGCTAATTTTTATATTTTTAGTAGAGATGGGGTTTCACCACATTGGACAGGCTGGTCTCGAACTCCTGATCCACCTGCCTCGACCTCCCAAAGTGCCAGGATTACAGGCGTGAGTCACCGGGCCCGGCTTTTTTTTTTTTTTTTTTTTTTTTTTTTTTGAGACAGAGTTTTGCTCTTTGTACTCCCAGGCTGGAGTACATTGGCATCATCTTGGCTCACTGCAGCCTCCACCTCCCGGGTTCAAGCGATTCTCATGCCTCAGCCTCCCAAGTAGCTGGGATTACAGGCGTGAGCCACTGCACCCGGCCTTGATTACTTGTTTCTATCCTACTTTAGGGCACAGGGATATATGTAGAAGGACGGCCACCCTAAAGTAGTTTTTGAATAGTTACACAATGGAAACAATGAAAGTCCAATAACAGGGAATTGGTTACATAAATTCTGGCCCATTCATGTGACAAAATGACAGGCAGCCTTTGAAAAATAATAGGGTGTCATGGAAACATGGCCAGATTTATATTAAGTGAAAAGGGCAGGGTGCTTTTCAGAAGAAGGTAAAATGTCATCACATGTTTAAAATGCATATTTTGGTGCCAGGCGCAGCAGCTTGCGTCTGTAATCCCAGCATTTTAGGATCGTGGCAGCAGACCACTTGAAGTCAGGAGTTCAAGACCAGCCTGGCCAACATGGTTGAAACCCCGTCTCTACCCTAAAATACAAAAATTAGCTGGGCGTGGTGGCACACACCTGTAGTCCCAGCTGCTCGGGAGGCTGAGGCAGGAGAATCACTTGAACCCAGGAGACAGAGATTGCAGTGAGCCAAGATCATGCCACTACATTTCAGCCCAGGCAACAGAGTGAGACCCTCTCTCAAAAAAAAAATAATAATAATTTAAAAATGCATATTTTTGTGTATGTTGCATATATGTGATATACAGAGATACAGCTTATTTAGTATATATTATTTTCTAATTATTAAAGTAATGCTTGGTTTATGCAAAATATTTTAGTAACTGGAAATCAGACAAGTGAGATTCCCTTTATATCCTGATCACCCTCATGTTAACACTGGGTGGTAGGATGAAACCTATATCAACTGTGTGTGCTGAATCTATTGCAGTAAGTATGTAACACTTTAATAAATATAGTAAGAAAAAATAAGGTTATTGGTAAAATTGTACTGTTTTATAAATGGGCTAATTATTTTGTGGATGTGTGTCCTGTATCCCCAACTAGACTGCGAGATCAATGAGAGGACGAGATCAATAAAAGCACTGAATGAATGAGTGAATGAATGGATGAATGAATTCTCAGTCTCTTGGGAAGTGGGGTTGTGCGGTTCATGGTGGGTGCTTATACAGGTTTGTGGGGGGCAGGCACAGTGTGGCTCATGCCTGTAATCCCAACACTTTGGGAGGAGGAGGCGGGAGGATCACTTGAGCCCAGGAGTTCGAGACCAGCTTGGGCAATATTGGGAGACCTCATCTCTTAAAAAAAAAAAGTAAAAATAAAGGCTTGTGGGTTGAGGCAACCAGGAGTGTCTGTGGCCCCATCCTGCCTCCCGGTGTCTGGGTGCTACAGTAGGTGGTTCAGGTTAGCCCACCAAGCTTGCTTGCTCACTCTTCATTCTCAACTACCTGAGAATGTGTACAGAGTCACCTCACCATACAAAGGAGAGGAGCGGGTCTCAGGGTCCTGGAGGAAGTCAATAAAATCATCATGGACAGAAAGAGCCCTTCACATAATCTTCTTGCCAGCCCTCAAAGGGGAAAATGGGCTTGGAATGGTGAAAGGACTTGCCTGGAGGTGGCTGAGCCAGGGTTTGAACCTGCGGCCATCCTACCCCAGACTTTATGTCTTAACTACTGCTGGGCAGGAGCCAAATCAGATCCCATGGCCCCGCCAGTGCGAGGCCCAGTGTGGCTCTCAGAACCTGCCAGCAGCTCTGGCCAGACGAAATGCTGACACAACCTCTGGCTATTAATAACCCCTGTCTGGGCCGGGCTCCTGTGCCCCTCCTGAGGCCACCCAGGGAGTGAGGTGAGTGCTTGGTGGAGAGATGAGCAGATCAGGTCCCTGTGGTCCAGGGATCTGAGTCCAGCGGCCCTCGTGCCACGTCCCATAGGGACCACTTAGGAGCCAGACCCCTTCTCTTTTCAGCTTCCTGGCTGGAGCCCTTCACCCCCTCAGCCTCAGCTTCCCCATCTGTAAATGGGGATATCACAGCTGCATCACAGGATGCATCACTGTCATTAGACGTTGTCGGTAAGCTGAACACATAGGGAGCTCAGCACACAGAGAGCTTGTACACGCTTAATATCCGTGCCTGGCGTACACACTTCCACGTGCGCCTGTTTCCAGCCGTCTGGAGTTTGGGATGAAGCAGCGCGTGTCATCATTGCTGCACCCAAGATGGCAGGACGTCCCGCGGCCACGACATCCCCTCTATGGCCGCACAGTCCGGGTGGAGCACGCTGGAAAGGAAGAGGAAGGAACGAGGCAGGTCTAGCCTGCTCCAGCCCAGCCCGACCCAGCCAGGGCGTCTGCAGGGAACCCCAGACTGAGGGCTCCTGGCCTCTTGCCTCTTCCCTGCCAGGGATGGGGAGGAGGCCAGACCACAGGGTTGGGCCCTTCTGAAGAGGGCACTCAAAAGGAAGAGAGGGCTGTGCCTCGTTTGTCAAATGAAATCAATTCCTAACCCACAGGGCTGAAATCGATTCCTAACCCACTCTGCGGCAGGGACCCAGCTCAGCATTTCACAAACACGGCCTCACCCAGACTCACGAGAGCCCTAGGAGGTGAACACTGTCATTCCCATGCGACAGGTGGAAACACCAAGGCCCAGGGAGGCCAAGTGACTTGCTCAAGGTCTCCCAGCTGGTTGATGGCGGGGCAGAGCCCCATCTGTCTGACTCAGAGCCTGGATGCCTGTCCCCCGTGGCCAGGGAACCCCCACTCCCTCCCAGGGCAGCTTCCTGTTCTTGGGAGGCTCTAGGTGGGCCTGAGGCACCATGGGCGGGCTCCATGGTTGGAAGAGAAGTTGCAGCCTCCTGCCTTCATCTAGGCTGAGCAGACAGGCCCTGGCACCCAGAATCAGGAGACAGAGGAGCTCGCTTCTGACTCTTCTGGTCAGCTGAAACTGGCAGCTTCCCCCATCGAGCCCAGGCCCAGTCAGCCCTAAAAGGGCTGTGGAGACTTTGGATTCCCACAGGTGGCCCAGGTGGGAGCAGGGATCCCTACCTCACATCCCGAATCCTCGGCTGGGCCCTCTGGGTCTGCGTCCTGGGTTTGCAGTCTCTCGACCCTTGGGCCCCATGCAGCCACATGGGCCTCCTGGGCCTCCTGCAAGGCGGGCTCTCCCTGAATGGGGCTCCCCCTTTTTTCTTCCTTCCTGGGGGAACCGTCCATGACTCCCAGACCAGACCCAGAGCTCCCAGAGCCCCGCTTCTAGGATTCTGCCACACATTTTCACACTGGTGACCACTTACACATGTCTTTCTTTCCATCCCCGCTGAACTGTGAGTTTTTTGCAGTGTGCCCAGCACTGACACAGCGCCAGGCGCTCGGTAACTATTTACAGGTTGCCTGAAGCTGCTGTCACACTCCTGTCCTTTGCAAAGTTCCAGGTAGTGGAGGCAACCTCCAAGAGGCAATCTGTTACCAGCTGACTCATTACCCCTCCCTCTGATGGAAATCAGAGCTCACGGATTGTCATTTGATTGGACTGTGATGCGCTGAAGCTGAATTCAAGACTGATTTAAAAAAAGACCTGCCAGCTTAATGAATGCTGTCACAGAGGGAGGAGCTGGACCTGACCCCAGGGACCCAGGATGATGCTGTCAATGACGTCGTTCACTCTATCTGGTGCCCAAAGAGGCCTCGGCCCAAGCAACACCGTCCAGTTTACAGAACCAGGTCCAAGCTGCCAGGCCGCTGGGGCAGGCAGGCCTGGCTTGCAGGGGTCTGGACGGCTCAGAGGGAAGCTGGTAAAAACAAGGTAAGCCCAGGTCCCACCTCTGCCCTGTCAGAGGCCAAGGCCACTGCAGAGTCGAGAGCAGCCGGAGGACTACATTTCCCAGAGTCCCCCAAGCCCAGGGATGAGCCATTGGCCGATTTAAATAGCCCAGGCCCGAGGAAGCCAGGCCGCAGCTGTGGACTCCTCACCTCCCGGAGGGTCCGCTGGTGCAGGCCCGGCATTGGAGGGCTCGGTTGGCTGCCCGGCTGGCACTGACGTCCCCTTGGAGCCGGGTGGCAGCGGAGATAAACAACCATGTGCAATTCTCCACCCTATATTTAACAGCTGCGGCGGAGAAGGCAGGGAGGCAGCCACGGTGGCGGCTCTGGGGGCAGCTCTTGTCTTCGGGGAGAAGGCCCTTGGAACCGGGCTGGCGTCGGCCTTTTTGGGGTGAGCGGGGTCACCATGCCAGCTTCCCAGAGCCGGGCCCGCGCCAGGGACCGCAACAACGTCCTCAACCGGGCTGAGTTCCTGTCCCTGAACCAGCCCCCCAAAGGGGGCCCGGAGCCCCGCAGCTCCGGCAGAAAGGCCTCCGGCCCCTCGGCACAGCCCCCACCTGCTGGTGACGGGGCCCGAGAGCGACGCCAGTCACAGCAGCTGCCAGAGGAGGACTGCATGCAGCTGAACCCCTCCTTCAAGGGCATCGCCTTCAACTCCCTGCTGGCCATCGATATCTGTATGTCCAAGCGGCTGGGGGTGTGTGCCGGCCGGGCGGCGTCCTGGGCCAGTGCTCGCTCCATGGTCAAACTCATCGGCATCACGGGCCACGGCATCCCCTGGATCGGAGGCACCATCCTCTGCCTGGTGAAGAGCAGCACACTGGCCGGACAGGAGGTGCTCATGAATCTGCTCCTGGGTGAGTGTGCCTGCCACCCGCCACTCACTGTCAGGCCCCTCGGGAGGGAGACCGGCCTGCCCAGCCCCACCCTGGCCAGGACCTGCACAGCCCTCAGAAACCGGCTGGGATGGTCTAATGAGGTTAGGCAGGAAGGGTGCCCCAGAAACGGGCAGGCTCCAGTGTGGGGAGCGAGGGCCAGGGATGCATAGACGAGGCTCCCCAGCCACGTGCCAAATGAAGGCAGAGGCCAGTGCGGCCCTGTGAGGAGGGCCTGCTTAGCAGAAGGCACCGCTGCCCAGAGGCGGCTTGAGGGGAGGCTGGGCCAGAGGCGGTGGCCTCAAGGGAGATGGTCAGGGCTCTGGTGGGCGTCCTGGAATGGGGTGTCACTGTTTGACTCCTGCCCCATGGCTGGGGTCCTCGCTCCTTGACAGCTCCCAGCTAGGCAGTGCCCGTGAGCTGCCCATGAGCACCTCCCGCCTCGGTTCGGGAACCCAGCAAGCTGCCCAGGCTTCTCCCGCAGGGTCTGGGGATCCAGGGGGTCCAGCTGGTACTGCCACCCACTCACAGCTCCCTGGAGTTCTTCCCTGCTCCTTCCCAGGGGGAGTCACTGGAGAAAGGGTCGGGGGACCAGTTGTTGGTTTGTTTCCAAAGTCTTTGCCACCAGCATCTTGCAGATTAGCACCGCCCTGTGCCAGGTGCCACGTGGGACCCATGTGGGGGCAAGCCATTCCCTCCACCCAGAGGTGACACCCAGCCCCTGTCCAGGCCACCCTTCAGGCACTGCCAGGTCCCCAAGGTGCCCCGGGAACCTCTACTTCCATCCTCCATGCCAGGCCCACATCGATTTCCTTGTCTTTCCCAGTGTGGCCATCATTTGGGGGACATGTGAGGTGGAGGTCTCGGGAGAGGTAAACGTTAACAAGGGGTCTCAGTTCCAAAAGGGCGTTGGGTTGGACCACAGAGAACACGAGTTCCAGAGGAAGTCACAGTAAAAACATGTATCTCCTCACTCTAGTCTCAGTCTGGAGGTTCCATGCTCTGTGGGTGGGACTCAGGGAGGCAGAAACCATCGGATACTTCATGCAGGAGATGGCTGGGTCTGCCACCTTCGAGGTATTCTTGTTCCTTTTGTTTTTTTAGACAGAGTCTCGCGATGTTGCCCAGGCTGTAAGGCTGAAGTGCAGTGGCATGATCTCGGCTCACTACAACCTTCGGCTCACTGCCACCTCTGTTGCCTCCTGGGTTCAAGCAATTCTCCTACCTCAGCCTCCCAAGTAGCTGGGATTACAGGTGCCCACCACCACACCTAGCTAATTTTGTATTTTTAGTAGAGATGGGGTTTCACCATGTTGGCCAGGGGGATTTCACCATGTTGACCAGGCTGGTCTCAAACTCCTGACCTCAGGTGATCCATCCGCCTTGGCCTCTCAAAGTACTGGGATTACAGGCATGAGCCACCGCGCCTGGCCAGTTTTCTTGTTCTTATTACTAAATTGTTTACATTACAATAACTTATGATTTACTCCTGAATAAACAGTCTCACGAGCTTGGTGCCATTATCGTGCCCATTTTACGTATTAGGAAACTGAGGTTCCTATAAATAAAGCAACCTGGCGCAGCCTCGGGCTTGAGATTTGCACCGGCTCCGGCTGATACACAGACCAGGTGCCGTGCTACGGGCATGGGAGGGAGGGACAGAGCAAAGTGGCCGAGGCACTAGGCCAGGCGCTTCCAGGGGCAGACCCTGCTCTCATTATCAACAGTTTCACACGGGGCCACGTGGCTTAAGAAGACTGTTGGGAGTTAGAGAGGTAGGTTGCCTGCTGTCAGAGATGGGGTGGGAAGGCATATGCCCGAGTCTGTCTCTCAACCCTGCTCCCTTGACCCCATCTCCTCCTTCCCATCGTCCTTCCCCATTTGACGAGGGAGGTGATGAAGTTGTCATTGGTTGAGTGCTTACTGCGTTCCAGGGCTTTGCATAAACCATATCATTACTTCGGCTCTTCACCGTAACCCATGGAGCTTGGTGCTGTTATTATTTCCCGTTTAAAGAAGGGGAAACTGAGGCATGGAGTGACTATGGTTCCAAGATCGGGCAGCTAGTCAGTGATGGAGCCAGGAGCAGAACTGGGAGCAACTCTAGCTTTGCTTTGCATTTTCAGAGGAGAGGGAGAGGGAACCAGCTCAGACTGTGCGAAGTTTCCAGCGGGGGGAGGATCAGAGGAGAAAGGAGGTGCATCTCAACTTACCCACAGTCAGTGGATTCTCTAGTAAGGGGGTGAGCTCCCCCAGGTAGGAGGTATGCAAGCAAGTTGCCTCTCATCACCAAGTAAAATAGCTCTGCTTTGATTTGGTTTTTTTACAGGAATGTTTGCTTTTAAGAACATTTCCCCTGCCCCAGGTTGAAAAATTTGCAACTGACTTGTTAAGATAAGGCTTCAGGCTCATTCCAGCAGCCAGTTGCTATGGGCACAAAGGTGTATGCCCCATAGGATAAAGATGAAGATTTGAGGTGCCTTCCTCCTTGAACAGAAGTGACAGACATTTTTAAAAACTTTAAAAACATCATTTAGTGAGCTTTATTATGTACCAAAGACAATGGCATGAACGGCCTGTATTTTATTTTATTTATTTATTTATTTTTGAGACGGAGTCTCGCTCTGTCGCCCAGGCTGGAGTGCGGTGGCGCATTCTCGGCTCACTGCAAGCTCCGCCTCCCGGGTTCACGCCATTCTCCTGCCTCAGCCTCCCGAGTAGCTGGGACTACAGGTGCTCGCCACCTCGCCCGGCTAGTTTTTTGTATTTTTTTTAAGTAGAGACGGGGTTTCACCGTGTTAGCCAGGATGGTCTCGATCTCCTGACCTCGTGATCCGCCCATCTCGGCCTCCCAAAGTGCTGGGATTACAGGCTTGAGCCACCGCGCCCGGCCGGCCTGTATTTTATGATGTAAAAAAGCTGTTGATGACCTTTCAAGGTAAACATTAATGTGCCCATTTTACAGATGAGTAAACTGAGGCTCAGAAAGCTCAAGCAACTTGCCCACCACACAGCTATAAGTGGTAGGTTCAGGAAGTAAATCCAGGGCCCTGTGACTGCAAACCCCTCCACTCCTTGCTGCTCACCATGGGGCTGTAGATCGGTCATATCACCCATGTTCACTGCACTCCTGGAGCGTGTGTGCTTTGAGGAGAGGAATGGTCTGGGAGGAGGATGACTGACTTCTATCCAGGTATTGAGATCATGGGGACATAGGGCCTGGCACAAGGCGGGCACTCAGCACAGGCCCAGAGCAGGCCGGATGGGTCTGGGGACCCCAAGGTCCTTCCGTGGGGATGCCAGCTCAGCCCTCGGCTTGGTGGGAGTAAACGGCAGCAAACGGCCAAGGCACGCTCTAATCCTGCTGCTCTGGTCTGACCTGCCAGGAGGGACGGTCCCATGGTCCCCTGTCCCAGGAAAGCAGACCACCCACTGAGTGCGGGCTGCGGGTTCCATCTGTCCTTTTGTCTTTGGAGGGCACCCTTCAACCCTGGAGCACAGGCTCTGGGGTCAGACTGGCTTTTGTCCAGGTCTCTGCTCTGACCCCTTACTTGCTGTATGCATCTGCTCAAGTCAGTTCCTGTCTCTGAGTCTCAGTTTCCCTATCTGGGGACTGAGGGGACTGTGGCAGGGATCTGAAGGGAGCTGGTAAAACATTTGGCACGGTGGGTGCCATGCCACACATGTCCCACCGATGGCTGACATCACTGCAGTACTGAAGGGGGAGGGAGCCCTGCCTAACCCTGCCCACGCTCTGGCCCCATGGCACTGAGCCAACTCCTGGGGCGGTCTCTGGGCTGGAAGCAAGACCTCTGAGCTTGTGGTTGGGATCTGGGTTCCACTTGGCTCTGAAGAGGCAGACTTGGGAGCTTGGAAAATGGGAGCTGCAGCTACAAGGCCTAGGAAGGGTCCTGCTGGGCCCAGGGAAGTTCTCTGCATGCTCCTGCATGGTAGGCAGTCCCATGCCCTCCCTGCTTGCCCCTCCCCTAGTGCACACTGTCAAGACTCCAGAAAGCTCAGAGCCAGAAGGGGTCTAAGCAACAGGCAAAAGCTTGGACTCCAGAGGCAGCAGGACCTGGGTGCAAATCCCAGCCCTGCTGTGGGAACTTAGGCAATGACTTTGTCTCTCTGAGCCTCAGTTTCTTCATCTGTCAAATGGGTTGTTGGGAAATCTCCCTGATGAATCTCACATAAAGTGCTTGGCACGGCCGGGCGCGGTGGCTCACGCCTGTAATCCCAGCACTTTGGGAGGCCGAGGCGGGCGGATCATGAGGTCAGGAGATCGAGACCATCCTGGCTAACACGGTGAAACCCCGTCTCTACTAAAAATGCAAAAAATTAGCCGGGCGAGGTGGTGGGCGCCTGTAGTCCCGGCTACCCGGGAGGCTGAGGCAGGAGAATGGCGTGAACCCGGGAGGCGGAGCTTGCAGTGAGCCGAGAATGCGCCACTGCACTCCAGCCTGGGCGACTGAGCCAGACTCCGTCTCAAAAAAATAAAAAAATAAAAAAATAAAGTGCTTGGCACTTACTGATGTTGGTTAACGCTTAAGTAGCAATGATTATCATCATCATTATCACCGTCATCATTGTCAGAACTCCAGGACCAGCCTCCTGCCAGGTACCTTCCAAGCTCTAGATGCCTTGAGACCACCCTGTCCCCTTCCTTCTCCCTCCCGCGCAGCACCCAGCTTGATGATCCGAAGGGAGCCAGGTGACAGGTGACAGGTGACCAGGCCCATCCTGGTTCACTAAGCCCATCCTTGTTTCCTCATGGGCCTGTCCTGTGGTAGGAAATGCCTACGGTCTTGTTCCCTGATCTGTGTCCTTTATGAAAGTATCTTTTTGTTTGTTTTTGAGACAGGGTCTCTCTCTCTGTCGCCCAGGCTGGAGTGCAGTGGCAAGATCTTGGCTCACTGCAACCTCCGCCTCCTGGGTTCAAGCCATTCTCCAACATGGTTTTGCCATGTTGGCCAGGCTGGTCT